CCCCCCCCCTCTCTCTCTCTTTCCCTCCCACTCAAGCAAGACCAGCTTCGGTTCGACCAAACCAGCTTTCCCGCCGCAGAGGGGCGGCAAAGGGACGCAAGAGTCTTCGACGAACGTTCATAGTACTCCAGAACCGTAGTACAGTTCTCGACGGATCAGAATCAGCAGCCACCCAAGCGCAGTGAAGGGAGTGAAGGTCCTCCCCGCCTCCGCGCGGCACGCCACGCCGTGTAGTGGTTGTGGTAGTTCATGGGAAGCCACCGCGGCGCGGGGCTGGCTGTGACTGGAACGCCCTAACGCCCCGCCCCTCTTGTGTCAGCGCGCCCCGCCCCCGCCACACCCCGCCCCGGACAGTGTCGGACGTTGGCGACCTCGGGGAGTGGCGAGAGAAGCACCTCTCTCCTCTCTCTCTCTCTTCCTCTTCGTCTCTCTCTCCCTCTCTCTCCGTGCCAATCAGAAAATTCCTGGTCCGCCTCGTACCGCAGTGCCGCCACCAGCCGCCCAGCAGGCCCGCTCCCCACCCCCGCAGCTTATTGTGAAATTCCTTTGTCTCTATAGTAGCGGCCGCAGAAACCATAAAACGGTTTCATAAAGGGGCGGGGCCCAGCCGGGCCGGGGGCGGCAGGGCGCCGGGGGCCCGGGGGCGGCTATAACTGTAGCTTACTGCCAACGGGACGACCCCCGCCGCCGCCGGGGTGTGGTGGCGGGGAGGGGCAGGGGGTGGTATTTCATTTGGTGACTCTGGCACTCTCCGTACGAAGGCCGCTGCCGACGCCGTTTTCCAGCGGCGCACAACGGGGGCGCAACCGAGGGCGCAACACACCAGCAGCTCTCAGTGTGGCGGGGCGGGGCGTGGCGGGGCGGTGGGAGGGAGAGGGGGCTGGTGAAGGGCGCGTCCGGGCGCGTCGGTGTGGAGGGAGGATGGGTGGCGGCGCACATGTTTCTTTTGCCCAAAGCCTCATTATACCTCCCATGCTCGGCCCATGGTGCGGTCAAGTCCGATACAAATTAATTTCGCGTATATCGGCGGCGGGCGCGCGGGCTGCTGGGGGGTGGTTGTGCTGCGGTGGTTGTGCTCCGCGGCGGCTTGGGGTCGAGTCGACCGCAGAGCGCGCGCGCGCACGCACAAGTGACCGTATGATTGTGCGAGCGTGCGCGCGCGTGGCGAGGCACGTGGCGCAAACGAGCGAGCGGGACAGAGTGAGAGAGAGGGTTGGGGACGGGAGGAGACGGTTGCGATCTGTATGCTATATACTTCTCGCACTGTCTTTGTGGCTCACAAATATAAATATATCGCTACTCCGACATAAAACGCAGCAGACTGCTGCAACCCGCAGTTTCCGACAATATCATCCGCTCCGTAACGAAATGGCATCGTTTTTATATTCTAATTGCCGTACGTGAGCTGTTTATGGAGACGCGTTACTATCCTCTTTTTCATGCTTTTGTCTACGGAAAAAAAAAGTTGGCGGGTATGCACATTGGCTGCAGCAGAGCACATATAACCCCTCTGCTCGATAGCACATAATCCTTTTTTTTTCACTGTTTTTTTCTTTTACTGCATCAGCAGCGATGGCGCGATAGTGCGGTAGAGCCCCATGTTTTAAATGTGAAAAGAGTGGCCTATTGAATGGCATGAAAAGCTGGCCGGTCGGTTCGCCGGTATACACACTCGGCCCGGCCCCGGCGCATGACCGCTCGCTCAAACACAAAATGTAGGTTTTATAAGTTTTTGCTTCTGCAACGCGCACAGCAGCTGAGGGGCGCGCGCGCTGCAGGGCGGCGGCCGTCCTGGTGCTCATGGTGATGGCCCGGCAGTGCGGTATGGTCGACGGTGTCGATCGGGCAGAGAGGCTATATGGTCGCTGCTGAATGCAATGGTGACGACAACAATGGAAGATAATAATGACCAGTATACGTGTTGATGGCGATGGTGATGAACAAGGTGTTGGTGATGACAATGGTGACAGGTGGCTCGCCGGGGGGCGGGGGCGCTCGGCGCTGTGTGGGAGAGCGCGCTCATGCGGCAGTTTGTTGGGAAAGGGGGAGGGTCCTGCGCGCTGTGCTCGGGGTTTTGGGTGTGGGAGTGAGAAAGAGAGAGAGCGCAAGAGAGAAAGGGGGAGGGAGGGAAGGGAGGCAGCAGTAAATTGGCGAGCTATTGTCAGTGTTTAGGATAATGTGCGCACCGTGAGCGCGCGGCGTGGCGCCTGGACCATACGGACCAGCCCTGTGGGCCTCCCTCCCCCAGCAGTAACTCACTGGGCACACGCGCACAGCGTCTGTCACAGACCACCAGCTAGGACGCAGCGGGGCGTGGCGGGGCGTGGCGGGGCACGGCGGGCTTGACGAGGTTGGAGTTTCACCCTTTGCCGCATTGGCCCTCACTACAATAGCCCCAACGCCCCCACCCCCCTTCTCTCTTTCTCTCTCTCTCTCTCTCTCTCTCTCTCCCCCTCCCCCCCTTTACCTCTGCTTTCTCAGTATGCTCCGAGATGCTCCCTCTTACTCTCACGTCTCCGTAACCGATTCCCCCACTCATCCCTCGTCCCGACTAAGGGCAACAAACACAATTTACTTCCCCCTTCCCAAAGGAAACGGCCGGCCTCTACACAGCTCTTCCTTTCGGAAGGGCGGAGAAATGGTGGTGCAAGACACACGCTCGCACGCATGGAGGGGGGGTTGGCAAGGAGAAATTACACATCAGCCGATAACTAGAACAGTTTGGAGAGAGATGGAGGCGCGGCCTGTTTGGCACAAGGCTTCGTATGTTCCTGAATCCCGGCCAACTCAACATCACCGCCCCTCACCCCCTCTCTCTCTCTCTCTCCCCCTCACTAGTCCTCGCAAGTCCTGCCTCCTCCGTGCAGGGCACAAGAGGGGAGGCGCGAGGGCGCGAGCGTGAAAGCGACTCTATATACTTGTCGATATATAGCATACCGGTGGCGGGTGGGTCGCACCCTCGCCCTCCCCGCCGCCTCCACGCTCCGCCACGCCGCACTGGAATTGGATATCGCATTCTGCGCGCATTTTTCCGCTATGGTTCTTGCTGGTGCCGGTGCCTCGCGCTGCGCCGGGCTGCTCGCGCCGCGGCAGCACACCCACTCACCCCTTCTCCCTGTAAGCGGTTCAGCGGCTGTCAGCGCCCCGCGACAAGCCCCCCCTGCCTGCTACACGGTGCGCGTTCGCCTTCACAGTCACAGTCCACTGGTTCGTGCGCACCTCCGCGCGGTGGCGCCCCACCATTTTATTTTATTCTTTTATTTTAAAAAGATATCTCGAGAAAAGTCCACGATCGAGGCGAGAATTAATTTTGTTTTATATTATGAAACCGTCCCCATCCAATAATATAATTCAGCAAGGCGCACGGCGCGGGCAGCCCGGGCGATATAGCATCGGCATTTCGCGACGACAAAGTAGAATCTGCGCCCTTTTGATTCTATTATTATACACTCCATCCCCCCGAATTCCCTCTCACTCACTCCCCCTACCCCATTCCCTTCTCTCTCTCGCCGATCCTCAAAACCTTTACGGTCCGGGGCGCTATCGCGACGCCCATTGTTGAGAATATATTGCTTTTCTTGTATTTCACCTGCTGGGCGAGGCGGGGCGTGGCGGGGCGCGGCGGTGGCGCCGAGGAGGCCGTGGTGCGGCGCGCCGGGACGCCGCGCCGCCTCGCCAGCTATTTCCATCTCGCGTCACAGTCTCGCGACGTTTGGAGCCCCCGGGGTCCATCTGTGAGTGGGCTGGCGTGCGTGTGTGTGAAAGGAGCCGGATTATACTATAATATGATCGCTCCAACGGTGACGTCAGGAAATGGGCGCGACCTCCGCGCTCAAACTTCTTTCTTTATGTTTGAGCTTAATACCTAACCTCTCTTTTCTATCATTCATAATCTCGCGCGTATACACAGTCATTGCCAGCGATACAGGTATGAGTGGGTGTGTGTATCCGTATCTGCGCAACAATAACACATCATACGCGCCGGGGAGGGGGTGGGGGGCACAACAGCATACAGTAGTCGACTGTTGTTCAAGTAATCCGCCCCTCCTACCCCATTGTCATCGATACACATTGTAGCTGCGTGGCATTATTCTTCATGTCGAGTGTCAATAAGCTCTCGGGGCGTCGAGTGTCAGGTGAGCTGCAATAAAGTGAACAATAACAAAATACGCCGGCCGCCTTGCTGCCGGGCGCGAGAAAAAAAGCAACACGGGGGAGGGGAAAAGGAAAAAGAGAGAAGGGAGGGGTGCGTGCGAGGGTGCGAGCGAACGAGAGGGAGAGACAGAGAGAGAGCCCCCGGAAGATAGGCATCTGGTTGCAGTGAGAAAGCAACAGATGAACAGCTAGAGTCGCCTGCTCGTCGACGTCGACAGCGGCACAAGCGTACTTCACTTGTTACTCTATACACCTCCCTTCTCCCTGTGTTTTCCATTCCCTGGTTGTAAGTGGCTCTCGGATTCACCGCGGGGACTTGAGAGGAAGAGGGAGACAGAGGGTATAGGGAGGGGGGAGGGGGGGGTTAGAAAATAGAGTAGGGTGATTTTTGCCGCCTAGCCTTAGCTCATGCTCAAACAGACTACTGCTTCCTGGCTCCATGATAATACGTTCCACGTCTTGCTCTGTGTGCTGCAGGTGTCAAGCGGGCCAGAATATCGGTAGATGGCGACGGAGATGACGAGGACGACGGCGACGAGGATCGGTCGTCACCCAAGCGCGCCAACAGCATCCGGTCCAGTAGGTCGGGTACGCCCCCCGATCCGGACAGTGACCAACCCCTACCCCTAACTTCCCGTAAGTACCTCCACAAAACTTTGGAACACTGGTTGATACGCGACGTGTGTCCTTCGGCCCTGTAACCAACCAGCTCCCCCGCCTTTTTGCAGTCCACACGAGCGGGCCGCCGACACCCTCGCCGGAGACGGCGGGCAGCGGCGAGGACGGAGACCACCTGGGCTCTGAGGACGGCGATGGCCCCCAGCACCAGCGGCTGACCCCGCCGCACCCGGGGCTGCCCTCGGGGCTGCCCTCGGGGCTGCCGGGGCTCACGCTGCCGGAGAACCTGTCCCTCAACCTGTCGCTGCCCAAGAAGGCACCCTCGTCGCACAGGGGCCGGCGCGAGAGGGAGCGGGAGCGGGAGAGGGAGCGGGAGCGGGAGAGGGAGCGGGAGCTGCGGCGGGAAGAGATCCAGCACCACCACCTGCAGCAGCAGTTCATGGCGTACCCGCAGCAGTACCAGCACTTCCAGCAGCAGCAGGCCTTCGTGCAGCAGCAGCTCAGCCACTCCATGGTGAGTAACCAACATCCCTAGAATCGTGCCAAAACACGTGCGTTTTGAGAAAATTTGGGAGAAGTATTTAATGAAAACATTTAACTTTTGTGTTTTCAGATGCAGCAGCAACAGCAACAACAGCAGCAGCAACAACAACAGCAACAGCAGCAGCGGTCCCCGGTGGACGTGCTTCTGCGTGTGTTCCCGGGTCGGCGGCGCAGCGACGTGGAGGCGCTGCTGTCGCGCTGCCGCGGGGACGTGCTGCAGGCCATGGACCTGATGCTGTGCCTCGACCAGGAGGCCGTGGTGGCGGCCGCGGTGGACGCCGCCGAGACCAAGTCGGCCTTCTCGCCGCTGGCGCCGCCGCAGCGCTACAGCCCGCGCCGCTTCCTGGCCGCGCCCTACGCCGGCACCGGCTACCTGCCCACCGTCATCCGGCCGCCGGGGCCCCTGGACTACGCCCTGCCCCTGCTGGGCGCACACGCCACGCACCACCACGACGTCAACAACGCGTCGTCGCCGGGCTCGGGCACGGGCTCGGACAAGACCAACTACTCGGAGTGAACGGGCTGCGTGCACTTCGTCGTCTTATTCTGTGATCGGGTACGTGACCGCCCGCCGGCGGGGAGCTCCGAGGGCGGGCGCCCGCACTCAAATCAGCCCGGGCCGGCAGCCGGCCGCGGGGGTGGCCGTCGACTAGGTCAGTTCCTTGGCCGAGCAGCAGGCCGTTGAACCTCCGAAGGGGGCGAAAACTCGCCTGCGGACGCGGGCAGAGCCGCGCAGGCCAGGCTCCGCAAACCAAAGACAGGAAATACGCAGGCAGACGTCCCCCACCGCCGTTCCCCGGCAGCTGCGTCTCAGAAAACCGAACGGCAAAACTTGAAAAGTGTTCTGCTGCGCGCGGGGCGGGGGCAGAGCATACACGTCCCGCACTGCGTCGCGCTGCAGGAGGCAGGGCTCTCGAGCCTGAATGGGGCACGGGCCGGGGTGTTCTTCAGATAACGGATCCCGTCCAAGGTTCCTTGAGGTCACTCGAGGAGCGAGCGAGCGAGCGAGCGAGCGAACAAGCCTTTTTGTAGCCACGGCGCGCGGGCTCGGTTCGGATCCGTCCGACGCGCTCCTCCTCCTCCTCTGCCTCCCCTCCGCGGAGTGCTCACGGTGCTCACTTCCAGACCGTGGCGTAGCGCGCCTCCTCAAGGACCACTTCCGCCTCCTCGCGGCGGCCGCGGCCCGGGAGACAAAGGCCGAGCATGAGCCTCTGGCGAAGCCTCTGGCCGGCGCGATCGTGTGCCACCTGAGCACGCCGCGGGGCTGCTGCCGTCGCCAAGAATTTTTCGACCACTTTGTGACCGCCCCGCTGCGCCCTGCTCGCCTCTCTCTCTCTCTCTCTCTCTCTCTCTCTCTCTCTCTCTCTCTCTCTCTCTCCTTCCATTCAGCCGTTGATGATTCCGACGCGATCCAATAACGCTCCGCTCGACTATTCGCAGCACGACGGAGCGCGCGGCGCGGCGCGGTTTGACGTGACCGGAGAATCAAACGGAGCCGGCTCGCCACCGCGCCGTGGTGAACTAGTCTTGCGCGTTTTCAAGTGGCATTTTAATTTCTTCTTTAATGCCACAAAAAGTACAATACAAAAAAAAATAAATTGAAAGAGAGAAAGAGAGAAAAAGATTAAATGCGGCGTGCGATTCAATGGCAGACGTTGGAAATACTGTTGCCTGGCTTGGCGTGCACCCCTTTGGTCCCGGCGCACAATAGGCAGCGCGAGTACGTGACGGAGAGGCGCGAGTGGGGATGCGTTTGTCAATGATACACCAATACGAGGAGAAAACTCGCCCCCGGGAGAGGAGGACAAGGAGGAGTGACAGGATGACGGGGGGGACGGGCTGGGACGGCTGCGGATGAATAAATAAATAGTTGAATTCAATGAACACTACTATTATAATTGCTGTGATCCTTTTAAAAGAGTAAGCCGAGGGGGAGGGGAGGGT